CAAGGGCAGAGTTATGGGTATGGTGGTAGCCCCATGCACCAAGGCCAGTAAGATGTCCCCATTTTTTGGGGCTGGTGAAGGGTTAACCCTTCTTGTGGTCCCCTGCAGACAGGGACCGGGGGCTGCCAGGCCCCAAGCAGGCAGAGCCCGGATGGGAGGCCCAGTGCCCCCCCAGAGGCAGTGGAAAGCAGCAGCTGCTGACCCCCCCTCCCCACTTGGGGGGACATGGAGAGGAAAAGGACCTGAGAACCGCTTCAGGGAGAGAGTACGCAGGCTGGGGAGGGGGAAACGGGACATTATGGGAGGATGGGACTCCCTCAACAGGTCCCCAGCACATCAAGGCAGCGGGTCACCCACACCCCCCTCTCCTCCACCGTCAGGGGAAACCCAACTCCCTGCCAGGGGCACCTCCATCTCCCACCACCAGCAGGCACCCGTGCCCACCGGGGTTGGGGAGGACGACAGGGAGGGCACACCGGAACCCCTCTCCACCCTAAAGTAAGGCACCCGGTTGCCACGGCAGTGCCCCCCCTCGGCCACACCCAGTGGCGTGGGGAGGGGCCACTAGCTGTTAGTCCGCTGCTTCTTGAGCACTGCGTACACGTCCTCCACTTTGCTGAGCCTCTCGAAGAAGGGCAGCAGATCCAACAGCTCCGTGTCCGCCATGTTATCGAACCAGGAGGCCACCGGCACCTGCGGGCAGCGCAGCGGGCAGCAGCGGAGGGGTTGGCCCCCGCCACCTCCCTTCCGTACCCCCCTCCCCAGGCCTCACCCCGGGGGCACATACGGCATTATCGGGGTGGAAGATGTAGGATGCGGGGGAGTTGTCCACGATGATGATGCGGCGCAGGTCGCGGCCCAGGCGGCTCAGGTCCTTCACGTAGTTGCCGCGATGGAAGACGCAGGATTCCCGGAAGAGCCGTGCCCGGAACGCCCCCCATTTATCCAGCAGGTCGGCGACGGGGTCGGCGTACTGTGGACGTGGGAAGGGGGTCACCGGGGATTGCCGTGCCACTGCGACCACCCTACAGGGACGAACGCACCACGCCA